GGGCAGCTTGCTATCGCTGTCGCGCTATTGGCTCTTCGAACGAAGTTTATAGCGTTTGCGTTTATAGCGTTAATAGCGTCTCCCCGAATGCACCCAAGAGCCTCGGCCACCGTTGTGTTCAGACGTGTTGGTTACGGTTTAGTTACAGAGTGTGATATACTTATATATAATAAAGACAGTATTCAGAGTGTATAAAGATCAAGATTGTTGTGTACCCTGCTCATCTCACCACATTTCAAGTCGTCCCTGATTATATTTCCAATAGGTTATGGGCCCAGGGCACGATTCCTCTGCATGAGGAACATAGCACGAAAGTGTATATACGAAGTGTGTGAGACGCCGGCAAAGGGCATAGAAAGAGATAGAAGCATCTAGAAGATTAGAGGGTGAGTAAATAATATTCCTTGTTGCTGACGAGCAAAACGAGAGAATTCTCAGTTAATAAGAACGTTCAATAAATGCCGTTAGAAGTTAGAAGGAGACAAATTCTTTTTGTCTTGTGAGAGATAGAGATAAAGGTAATAGTGGTAATAAGAGAATTAGAGAATAGATGTGTAAAGTGTAATAAAGAAGTAGAGAATGATGAAGGAAAAAGAGATAGAAAGATGCCGCTTGGTAGCAAGTCGGCGACGTGCGCGTGCAAGTCCGATCGTGAACGGCGAGAGTCATTTCTTTTGGCGCGCGGAAGTCCGATCGTGAGAGACGAGAGTCATTTTTTGGCGCGCGGAACTTGTTGCCGGGCGCGCACAAACACATAATCGATTTCGACTAACAACACAACATCGATGCTAGATGGCTAGATTACGATACATGTAAATGTATGCGTATGCTAGATGGCTAGATTGCGATACATGTATATGTATGTGTATGCGTATGTATAAAAACTCTATATGACTCTATATGAGTTTATTTTTTTTTGAAATCGATATGTATCGGGTCGGTAATTGAGCATGACTTGCTGTGCGGTGTAGCTTGGTTACTGTTTAGGGAAGCTGCGTAAATTTGTATGGGCCCCGTGCGTGTGCGTGATCAACCCGAGCTCCCATAGATCTTTTCAGCAGTGCTGGGGATCGCAACGGACAGTGGTGTGCGCGTGCGGATAGCCCTGCAGAGGCGCGTGGTTTTCTTGCTTTGGGGTTATTGTGAATTGCAGTGCGTTCTATATAGCCTCATAAGCATTACATTTTTATCGCTGAAAGAGATCTAGTGATAGAAATTGTAAATTATTATTTGTCAATACGAATGTTGGTTTATCTTGTTAAAAGAGGAATGCTAATGTTCGATTGAAATTTAAATCCCGATCTAGATGGAAAAAGAGACAGAGAATCTTTCGGTGGAGGAAGAAGACCAAGATGCGCTAGTTGACTACGACAGCGATAGCAGCATTATCACGGTAATAGAAAGAGAAAGAGATAGCGAGGAGACAGTAAGAAACTTAGAGAAAGAAAAAGTTAAACTTAGACGTTTAGAGGTAAATAATGAAAATACGCAAAGTTCAGTACAGAATGATATAACAACGGTTAAAGAATTAGAAGTAGAATCTAGAAAGAGAAAATTAGATGAAGCAAGAGTTTGTTCCGCCGGAAAAGATAGAAGTTTAGAGACAATTAAAAGCACTATAGAGGCAGAACTAAACAATCAAAAGTTGCATATTAGAAGAGAATATAAGCTGACGCAAAAATCTAACTTTGATCTTTGGATGGATTATTTAAAATCTGAGTTAATGAATAACGAGTTGTTAGATGTAATAGATTCAAACATTGAAAGTCCAGAAAATCTCTCCGAATTAAAAGTTGCTAAAAGAAAAAATCTAGTTAGAGATATAATAATCAATCATTTAGATGAAAACTATCATAAAAGGATTCTACATGAAAAAGATCCAAAAGAAATTTTGAAGAAATTAAGAGGACATCAAAAGAGTGAAGTAAACGTTACTCATGTATCGGTACGAGCTAGACTCTATCAAATTAAAATGAGAAAAGACGAAAAAATAAGTGATTTTTGTGAACGCTTCGATTCAATAATTAGAGAATATGAATCATGCAGAACAAGAGATTAGATCTGCATTTTATCAGGCTGTGTCAATTAATGTACCAGAGCTGAGGAATGTAGATTTAATTAGAAGACAAACTAATCTTAAAGAAATGAACATAGATGAAATAGTCTTTTATGATGCAGTTAGAAGCAGAGACTAAAAACGAGAATAGAGAAAAATTAGAGAAACCCGAAGTCAGGGTACAGAGGGCTGCTGCAGAAGAGAACATGAAACAAGTGAAGTGCTACAGATGCAACCGAATGGGTCATATGGCGAAGGACTGTCCACTGATAGAATCTGGTGCCTGGTTTTGTTACAACTGCCAGGAAGTTAGAGGCCACAAGGGTGACAGCTGTCCTAATGCCGGAGCCCAGGCGAACAAATTTAGAGGAAAAAGGTATACAAATAAAACCGTTAATAAAAATGTAAAGATAGAGTTATTAAATGCGCGAATATAAAAATGAGCTTGCAAACATTTCAATAGATGGTAAAGGAGATCTTTCGCTAATAACGAATGAAAAAGAAAAGAGAGTTATTAAATTAACAAATGTAATTGCAGCAAAGGAAGTATCCAAAAATTTAAGAAAGTTGGCTGATGCAGGGTTCAGTATTTATTTAGATGATAAAGTGTTTAAAGTTTACAATAAACTGACAAATAAAATAGTTTTTTAAGGAATTTACAGATGTAGAGCAGAAATTGTTACACATAGTGAGCTTCCTGAACAATCGCAAACAAACATTCAGAGCAATGAATTATCCATTTCGGAGGGAGAATTAGATGAGAAGGATAATGTTGGTTCTGCGATTGGGAGGGAGAATGAAGGAGAGCTCACAAATGTGAACGAAAATATAGAACACAACAATGCTAAACTCGATCAAGTCATTAAGTTAGAGGATATACAAACATTAGAGAATATAGAAGAAATGTGTGAAAGCTCAGTAATTGAAAAAGTAAAGAAACTAGAGAAAATAAATGAGGCGATGTTATGGCATGTTAGATTAGGTCATGCATCGTTAAACTATCTAAAACAATTACAAAAAGTAGAAAAGAGATTGGAGAATGTGAAGTTTGATAACTCCATATTAGAGTGTGAAGTATGTATAATGGCAAAGATGGCAAAACTGCCGTTTAAAGAAAACAGAATATAGAGAATGAAGATGAATTGAGTCGATGTCTTATGGCATCATTACATAGAGAGCCCTTCACATATGAAGAAGCGATGACAGGCAGCGAAAGAGAAAACTGAAAAAATGCTGTAATAGAAGAACTTGAGTCTATGCAAACCAATCTAGTATGGACGCATGTTGATAAACCGACAGAGATGATAGATGGTAAACGAGCTAACATTATAGATTCAAGATGGGTATTTAAGAGGAAATTAGAAGCAGATGGATCAACCAGATATAAAGCGAGACTGGTGATAAGAGGATGTAAAGATAAAAATGTGTATGATCTAAAAGAGACATATGCACCGGTTTCAAGATTGTCACTGGTTAGATCTATATTAGCAATAATAAATAAGTATAATTTATACGCTAGTCAGCTAGATGTTAAGACTGCGTTTTTAAATGGAGTTCTGGAAGAAAAAGATGAAATATATATGGAAATTCCAGAGGGAGTAGAAGTGGATGAAAACACCAAGAAGACTAAGGTGTGTAAATTGAATAGAGCTTTATACGAATTGAAGATAAGTCCGAAAAGATGGAATAAGAGATTTTCAGAAGAGGCTAAGAAACTTGGATTAGAGAACGACCTACATGAGCCATGCCTGTTCACGTGGAGGAAGGAAGGCAAAATAGTGATCATATTACTTTATGTAGATGATATGTTGGTTGCAAGTAATGATCAGAAAAAATTAAAAGAGTACCTTTATAGAGAAGCTACAGGAAGCTTAATGTATCTGGCAAATGCTACACGACCTGGGACCGTATTCTCGAGCCTGCTCTAATGATTTTCGTATGCGACTTTCTATTTGAAAAGCATTGAATTTTGCATGCGAGTTTCATGAAAACGATTCAAGAATAGGGCCCCTGATATAGCCTTTGCAGTAAACTATTTAGCAAGAAGACAATTAGAGCCCACGGAAGGAGACTGGCAAGATGTAAAAAGAGTCTTCAGATATCTTAGAGGAACTGCAAATAGAGGATTGATATTTAAAGGTAAAACAGATGAGTTAGAGTCGCTAACAGATGCTAGTTTCAGAGATTGCATTGATTCTACATCCACTGGAAAATATATAATCAAATTATTTGGAGATGTGATAGTATGGAGAAGTCATAAACAGACATATGTTACACTCTCTACCTGTCAAGCAGAGTATCTGGCAATGAGTGAGGCCTGTCAAGAAGTAATTTCATTAGACAAGTCGCTCAGGTATGTTGTTGGAAGAACATTCTTGCCTGCAACAATCTGGTGTGATAATAGAGCAGCAGGAAACTGCACTAAGAAGGATGGAAGTCACAAACTTAAAATGTTTGATGACAACTTAGAAAAAATATAGAAAAACTTAGAAGAGAGAGAAGAAACTGGAAACAGAAAACATATGGCTGACACTCATGGAGATTTTATCAAGCAGTGTGTTGATCAAGGGAAGGTGAAAGTCGAATGGATTGAGACCAAAGAGAACTTGGCAGACATTATGACAAAACCTTTACCTTTAGAAGCATTTGCATATCTAAGAGATAAGATAATGAATTTAGAGTTTGAACAAAATTAGAGATTAATTTTACTCGAGAACTAATTCTTGGTATGTTTCAGATAAAGAAGAAAATTAGAGGATAAGAGGAAGACCACGGATCGCTCGCACAAAGGGAGGGAGTATGAGGAGCTAAGCTTTGAACGAGCGATGTGCTCCCGCCCTTCGAGAGGGCAGCTCCGGTGTGGCGCGCGCCTCGGGGCGCCACGCATACGTGCGGTCGTTCGGTCGTTGGGTGAACACACAAGAGCCTCGGCCACCGTTGTGTTCAGACGTGTTGGTTACGGTTTAGTTACAGAGTGTGATATACTTATATATAATAAAGACAGTATTCAGAGTGTATAAAGATCAAGATTGTTGTGTACTTTGCTCATCTCACCACATTTCAAGTCGTCCCTGATTATATTTCCAATATTTATAAATATACTTTTTTCATAAATATATTTACGAACACAAAATTTCATAATGAGCCGGCACTGGTTTCTGACATTCACCCGACATTAAGAAATATTATATCATATATCTAATTCAAAATTTTATTACTCTTTTTAAACTGAATTTGTTTCTTAAGATGATTTTTGAAAAATTATATATTTGCATTGCCATGGTTATGACATATGTAGACTATATATAACGTTTACATCAAATTGAGAAGTAGTCTACCACGTAAGGCAGTTGGCTCACGATGCAGAGGTCCCGATTTCAAATCCCACCAAGGTAAGTGTGTTTTTCAAATACGAAAAAATATTTATAATCATAGACTGCATCTTAAGGGGTTAGTCTACCCTGAAACAGGTGAATTTTCTGGAATTAATTTCAGACAAAATATCGGTGATACATGAATAATTTTTTTTTTATTATCTTTATTAGGGTTTCAAGAACATGTACAAATTTTTTGGTGTAAACAAATTTCAAAATGGCGATGAGGCACTCCTTCGCGCGCAATTATGCTTTTCAGACGGTGTACATGGTTTCTGAATTGTGGGTGGTCTAAAAAAAAAAAAAATATGGTCATTAACTATATTGTATTGCCTTCAGAATGACGGAGCTTTTTTTTCTCTCCTCGTTTTTGGCGTCAAGAAAAAAATTCAGCGTCAATTTCAAAAATGCAGTGAAAAATTCAAGAATTTTTTTCTTGACGCCAAAAACGAGGAGAGAAAAAAAGCTCCGTCATTCTAAAGGCAATACAATATAGTTAATGACCATATTTTTTTTTTTTTAGACCACCCACAATTCAGAAACCATGTACACCGTCTGAAAAGCATAATTGCGCGCGAAGGAGTGCCTCATCGCCATTTTGAAATTTGTTTACACCAAAAAATTTGTACATGTTCTTGAAACCCTAATAAAGATAATGAAAAAAAAATCATTCATGTATCACCGATATTTTGTCTGAAATTAATTCCAGAAAATTCACCTGTTTCAGGGTAGACTAACCCCTTAAGAAACAAATTTAGTTAAAAAATAATAAAATTTCGAAATAAATAATTTTTTTTATGTCGGGTGAATAATTATTCAGTGAAACACGTGGATTTCACGTCAAATCGATGATCTCATCCACGTGGACTACAGTAACATTCTTGAGCGGATTGTCCACTCGAATGTCCACGTGGATTCCACGATGCTGATCCACGTAGCAATAACGTGGATTTCACGTACTGTTTTTATTGGGTGCGTTATGAATTGCGTTAAAGTAGCTTACAGAATAGGATTTTCTAGTGACATTCAGTGTAACGCCGTAACGCAAGCGTTTACGCTTGTTTAACGCCATCGTTAACACATCATACGTTAAGATCCATTTGCGGAATACGAAGTCGTAAAGCATGCGTTAAGAAGTTACAGAATAGGGGGGCAGAGGTCCCGAGTTCGAATCCCACCAAGGTAAGTGTGTTTTTCAAATACGAGAACATATTTATAATCATAGACTGTATCTTAAGAAACAAATTTAGTTAAAAAATAGTAATAAAATTTCAAAATAAATAATTTTTTTATGTCGGGTGAATATTAAATTTATACAGAATATGCGATATCCCATTTTTAATGTTCCTAAAATAATCTATAAATGTTCTATAAATATATTTTGCATACATAAAAAAATTATGGATTATGCGGAAATAAAACATTTGTAGATTATTCGAGAATATTTACAGAAATTTCTAAGGACATTCAAAGCGGGACATTACACGTTCTTTGCACATTTATAGATCATTCATAGAAAATTCATGAATATTCTAAAGAATATTTATAGAACATTCATGGAATATTTCATGCTGTATGGAAGTGGTTTTATAAAGACATGTACAGCTAATGAAATATTTGTATATCAATGTGAGATTTCCATCATAATAATTGCCGTGCTCACTTCAGTGCGCGCTATCACTAACGGCTCTAAACGATCCTGTAAATAATTGTATATACTCATTTCAATAGACTTTGCTTTATTTTCTTGTAATTGTGGACTTGCTGTTTTTTTGTGGTCGTCTTCTACCTCGCGCTACCGCGTGCTCTCGAACACAACTTATTGTACAATATGTACTTATGTATTTATATATTCATGTATCATTATAATTTGTTGTAATATACTTTTATATATTATTATATGTATATGTTTATATTTAGCTCATAAAAATTCCCTCATAAAGTAAAGAGCAGTCTGGATGCATGGTGATCTTCTCAGTACGCAGGAAGCCATTTGGAAAGGTACCAATGATCGTAATATCTTTCTTTATGAAAAATTCAATGCAAAAATATTAATAGCTAAAGGCGTTGGCATACACTTGGATATTAAAACTTTGTCCACGCAATCTATATTACATGCAGTTGAAGAAGCACTTTACAATGAAAGGTATCATATTTTAATCATGTTTTAATAATTATTATTTAAGCAATAAATTAGCAATATGTGCACTAGCTGGTTACCCGGGCTTCGCCCCGGAGGACATATGTAATAAGACACGCAAATAGATGATAGCGTATATTTATATTTAACGCCAATAGACAATAGATTTCCGCATCGTCCTTTTCTCTCTCTCTCTCTCTCTCTCTCTCTCTCTCTCTCTCTCTTTCTCTCTTCCTCTCTTTCTCTCTCTTTCTCCCTCTCTCTCTCCTCTCTCTCTCTCTCTTTCTCTCTCTCTCTCTCAACGTTCAAAATTTGTTTTTTCTACTATTCAGCCTGATGATGTATATAAGCTTATCACAAATCAACCTCTTTATTCCTATGCATCTGGCCATGACGGTATTCCGCTTTATGTTCTCCGTATTGCCTGGCCTGTTATTTCCCAATGCTCACTTCACTGCTTAATTGTTCACTTCAATCCTCCGTATTTTCTTCATTAAGGAAACGTGCGTTGATCCGCCCTCTCTCGAAGATTCGCACTCCTCCGTCTCCATCTGATACTCGACCTATTGCTAACCTTCCGGAAATGTCTGAAATCCTTGAACGAATGAGTAACCTCACAGATCACTGACTATTTAAACAAGCATAATTTTTTGAATCCCAGACAGTCTGCGTATTGTTCAGGTTACAACACGCAATCTGCACTTTTACGCGTCTGTGATGACATAAAAAAGAGAATCGATGACAAGCTTATCACAATTATGATTCTCTTTGACTTTAGTAAAGCCTTTGATACTGTTCCACATCTTCGTTTACTTATGAAGTTAAAAGAATTAGAATTTTCTGACGAGGTTCTTGTGTGGATATTCTCCTATCTTACTGGCCGTTCTCAAGCTGTAATTGATGATGAAGGTATCTCTCAGACTGGCTGTTCACATAGTCCGGCGTCCCTCAAGGTTCTGTACTTGGTCCTCTTCTCTTTGCACTGTATATTAATGATATAGGTGGTTTTCTGTCGTTTGTGTATCATATGCTCTTTGCTGATGATATACAAATATATCTCCAATGTTCCCGCACTGACATTCTCCGATTCATTCTCCATGGTCTTGAAATGATTTCCAAAGATGCGAACGCTATTTTTGACTATGCAAATTTAAATGGTCTTAGACTTAATCCTGCGAAATCTAAGGTATTGATTTTTGGTAGTCATTCCTATGTTAATGATATCGACTTCCATAGATTACCTCCTATTATTGTAAACCAAACAACTATACCCTTTGTTAATAAAGCCAGAAATTTGGGTGTAATTTTTACGTCTAACTTGTCTTGGAGGAAACACATTTTACACATCTCTCAAAAAGTTCATTTTTCTTTGCATTGTGACGTTGCACTGCGTGCACGTCCCAGTCTTCACCATTCCCATCTTTGTATTGCGCGCGTACTGCCGAGTTTATAGTTTTCAGGAAGAAGCGGCCGGAGGGCCCGTTTAGAGAAAGTGGCGCCATCCGCCGGTGCGGTGAAGCGCCTTGATCTAGAGGGCCGCGAGTTGAAGCCGCGGGAAGGATCGAGAGACTGTTGGGTAGACCGCGAGCGAAGACGGACGTCCGAGAGGAATTGTACCGAGACAATAAGCGAGGGCGGCGGCCCTAAGAGAGAGATTGAAGGAAGGAAGGAAGGACGAGATGTAACCAGCCACCCATCCCAGACATCAGGTATCGGGGAACGGCGGGCGGAGTGTCAGTATCGTGTCGCGTAAGATGTTGAGAGAGACGCGTAGGCTTGCTTGAGAGTTTCCTTGCCTACGCGCCATTGCCGTGAATCCGTTGAGAGGATTATCGCTTT